TTTTTTTTTTTTTTTTTTTTTTTTTTTTTTTTTTTTTTTTTTTTTTTTTTTTTTTTTTTGTTACACGTATGGTCTCCACCTCCTGTCCCTACTCTCTTGCCTCCCCCCGCTTTTGGGGGACTTAGATCCCTTGTTTCGGTTCCTTCACTTGAGGAAGACTTCACCTTACATCCTCACACTCAAACAGTCGTTCCACAACAGTGTATGCTGAGTAAATATCTTGAATTCTCTATTCATATAACTTGGAATTTTCCCATGGCGATCTAGTCTTTTTAACATATTGCAATCCAACAACAGCACAAAAAATTGCTTGACCTACTTTGTGTGTTTTTTTTTTTTTAACTCTCTTAATTTCCTCCCAGTGAGGATCTCTAAATTTTATGTAAATAATTTGGATTGGATTTCTTGTTTCAATATCTTCGAAGTGTACGGTCCATCAACCATCTTGTATATCCATTTATTTTCACCTCCACTAAACTTTGTATCCTCAGCTCGGTGCTTTATTGCAAACGTGACCACTGTGTTTGTAGCTCGAAAGTATTTTTCGTGGTCGAAAATAAATTTTTTTAGAACCTTGGAATCTTTAACCCTATATAAACGTTTGGATTATCGCAATAACACAAAAAAAATTAGAAAAAAAAGGGAAGGAAAATGTCCCACATCTTAAAGTTGATAAAAGTGAGAAGTAGGGGGTTGACCTCCTGTATAAAAGAGAGGGGTACCTCATTTCATTTTATCATCCTATTTAAACGGTTTGAAACTAGTCGAAAAATACATTTTTTGATAGCTCAAGGCCAGCATTTTGACTAATCCGACTTAAGTTTGATGCACTCGGACCCTTTTCTTCTAGTTTCAACTCTTCCAAAGCATTGAAGATTAGTAATAGCTACATTTTAGCAAGTTTTAATTTTTAGAGACAGTATACATAATTAGGCTTAGCTAGTTTAAATTACAAGTAGTAAGTTTAAATTATAGGCTTTGATAGTTTAAATTAGTAGTAAGTTTAAATGATAGGCTTTGATAGTTTAAATTATTATGAGTAAGTTTAAATCATTTTATGCAAAGCTAGATCAGTCCATTCCCACCATAGAATTTTAATTTATGATTGTTAGATTCATTGGCCATAATTAAATTTAAGATAGTAGCATTAAGCTAACATCAAGGAGTTGTAACAGCTTCGGCCTTGGCCAACCAAGTAAATGATGTTACTATTAATTTGGTTAAAAGTTAATGCTTGTACGATGACACGTGCCCCGTGGTTCTGCACATATTATATGTTTGATATATGTGAATTGTTTAGGAAACGATATGATTAGGATATGTTTATGAAACGATATATCTATATAATTATGATTTATGAAATGATATGACTATAATATGATATATGTTATGGTACGATGCGTTTGATGATATGTTTATGATATGATACGTGAATGATATATATTATGATATGATATATGTTATGGTACGATGCGTTTGACGAAATGATAGGACTATTTTATGTTATGTGAATGATATGATATATGTTATGGTGTGATACGTTTGACGATACGACGCATATTGTGATATGCTTTATGATATGATATGTGTACAATATGACATGATATGTTGGGAGACACGATATGCTTATATGATATAATACACGTGACATGATAAGATGTATATTATGAATTACATGAAATATGATGTTTGGATATGATACACAATCTTGAAATTACATGAAAAGTTATGATAATGATACGATATGAAGGAAAACGCTAGAGGGGTTGTTGTCATACATGATAATGAAAAATGAAAAATGTTAGGCCCTCATGCATCATTATGTATTCATGCATCGAGGGATACCCCTTCTTCATTTACGATGGTACGTACGTGTACACTACGAGACAGAAAACAATCATTAGATTATTATAATGTTGTGATGGTCGTTATTCCTAAATGAGTGTCTGACATCAATAGCTACCAGAGAATGCTTGCCTAACAAGAAAGAGGTCTAGGAGGTGTGCGAACTGACTAGTGGGTCCATACTCACATTTGTGGACCGTGTCTAGAATAGTAAATACACATTGAATTAGTCCGTTTAGGATAAACGTTTAAGAAATAAAGGCTGATATGATAGATTTCACTCATGATCGCATGTGTTTGCATCTAACCCCTATAATAAGGTCACTAACTGAGTATTTCTTAAAATATTCAAGTTAGGTGCTACTTTATTTCAGGTAAAGGCAAGGCATCCATGTACGGCTGATGACGATATCACAATTCGAGACCATAACACATGTCTAGGGTAGTCATATTTATTTTCTTAGAGTTAGATTAGAGTAGTGTTTTTAACTTTAATGCTTATTTATTTCATTTAGTATTTTGTTGTGTGGTTTTAAAGATGTTTTCGAACATGTAAGCTCGTGACAATGTTTTAATATAAAGTTTATGTTTTATGATAAAGTTTAAACACTTGTTTCCGCACAAAATGATTAAGTTACGATGACCGTAGCTGTAACGACCCAAAAAAAAATAAAGAAAAAAATAATAATAATAGTAAGTAAATAATAATTATAAAAAAAAAAGAAAAAAAAAGGTAAAGTATGGATCCTCTCTCCATCTCCCCCGAATATCTCTCCA